GCAGGCATTCTCAAAAGGGAAAATCATAATTACATCTCACTCAAACTCACCAGCCTATCTTAGCATGCAGTAAATATACTCAAACAAAATGATATCTTTTGAGGTATAGAGTGATTCGGTTATTCCATGTTATATATCACTCTACATGTAAATATGTGTCCTAGCGTGAGCTGATGTGCATTTATGTGTATTAAAAGATTCGCAACTAACAGTAATGAGTCAAAGTAATTAGAACAATGATTAGCAAACATTTTGTCCTTATTCATTAATATTCAGTACAACGAGATTCATCTGTCCTCATCTGACGAGATCGACCAACGAATCTCTTCTTCATTAACTTTCATACGAAATGAAAGTGCCCCCAATAATTCATCTTTTAACAAATTTATATGCATCTTGCATCAAACATCAACATGAATTTAGGTGGCAATTAGCTAATATTAATAAAACACAGGTTTCAGGATACACATAGAGACACATGAGACAACTTTAAAACATAGAATATAGGAGCATTCATGTGAATACATTTTAGTCAGTTTGATTGTCGAGGCTGAACACTGCCCTCCACTGATGCTTTTTCGGAGTGAGTTTTCTCGTATTAACTTGAAGAAATAACTTAATATTTGCATTAATTTTTACTTTCCCTCCATAACGTCCGTTCTCACCTCCAGCCTGGACTGTAGCAAATAGCTGGCCTTACCGTTTTATCAGCTACCCCATCTGAATTCGAACAATGAATGCTCAGGCTAAGAGGCAAACGCTTTATCTCCCAAGTTAAACTACCCAATTTGGGCTTTCGGTCTGACGTGTTTGGTTGGTCCTTGACCCACATGTGCATGCTTCAACTCCAACCGGGAGTGCCAATGAGATGATGAAACGAGCTCGAGGCAAAACACCAACTCGGTTGAGAACTGGGATGAATGGAAAAGTTAAATGTGCCGTAAAACTAAGTAGATTCAACATTTCAGCATGGACAGAAGACTCAATATCAGTCGGAACGGCGATCATTCGCAATTCGTGCAGTTCTAGAAAGTTCCGCCTCGTGATGTCTCGAAAAGACGATTTATCACTCAATTTTTTTGTTATATGCCGGGTCGAATATTTATTTTGCTCTTTATTATTGTCACCATCCTAATGCCATATTACATTAACCGTTTACTTCACTCCTTCTGCTTCGCGTCGTCATGCAACTCAGCCCTTCAGAAAAGATGTTCGAGTCAACTTCTGTATCATCTGCGGAAAGAATCGTGGCCTGAATGCATTGGACAAATGCGTCTGTCAAAGCATGGCCGGCTGCGAAGTTTGTAGAGAGGATATGAGGTTCAGTAACCGCAAGTTATATTATAATTTATATATTTTAAATGTAATACCAACAAGGATTCCCTATTTCGAATGGCTCGACGGGTTTGATTGGTGGAGATGCGCTCTGGCAGATCTTCCTGAGCTTCGGAATCGTCTGCCAGTCATGCGTGTTGCGCATCATTATCAGCCAGTTTCTAGGGCTTTTGTGTCTATAACAACCTTCGACAGGGCATATCAGACTTGCTCGTTGAGACACTGTTGCATAATGCGTCTCTGAGGCAGCCGATGAAACTGACCTTTCAGTTCATCTCTCGTCTCATCAGTCGAAGAGCAAATTGTCGGTTCAAGATCGCTTGTCATCGTCGCATAAAAGTAGCACCGTCTCTTGGCTCCTCGCAGGGTTTAGAAAAATAAAGCAGAAGAATGAAGTGAAATAAAATAAAATAAAGATCTAGGAGTTATACTTCTCCTATTTCGTGTAAGGTGATAAAGGACTGGTAGTTGAATATTCACACAATCACACGAGTAGAACTGACATGTCCATTGTGTTTCACATAATCTTGTCCTGCCAAAAGGTATTTTTACTCGCGATGGACGGCATAGGTCCTATCAACGCTTTCAGCGGGAGTCGAATCATGGCAGTGCGGCGGGTAATCTCGACACCTTAACTATTCGGCTACATGGCCCCAGTGCCCTCGGTTCACAGGTCAGATGTCACGTTTAAAGAAGGCCATTCACTTGTCCATATCACATTCTGTGGTGAGATTGTCGATAAAGCAAACTTATATTTGCTATAGCAACCAATCACATTACTTATATTTCGGTGCAAGTTCATGGTTCAACTCCCGTAGTCCATTCTTGCATGGATGAGAACACCGTTGTGGATAGCAAGATTATGTAAAATTGCGTGTAAATGTCAGATCTTTTCATATAATTACGAGTGTATTAAACTACCGGTCCTTTATTATCTTATATTTGCTACTGCAACGAATCACATCATTTATATTTCGGTGCAATTTCATGGTTCGACTCCCGTATTCCATTCTTGCATGGATGAGAACACC